TTGAAATCTTACATCTTCAAAAGCTCTGTAAAACTGAGTATCATAAAGCCCTTATACAATATATGCTGTGGCCACATTTGGAATATTGAATTTAGTTTACACCATCCCATCTCAAAAATTGTGCATGTAGAGCCAAAAATGGAAAACCAAAACACCTCCTACTTCAATCCGCCCTTTCCTCAGATTCTTATTTTTCAGTTCATTGCCTACTCTGTACTCTTCCTTCACACATCTTTCATTTGGACTTCTTGTTCCCTAGCTTCTCTGTTTCCTGAATCTCTTCTTGCCTGCCCTACAAAGTGACTATTCTGTGACATAAAATCCTCCCAGCCAAACAGACAAGTTTCCTTTACCTCATGAATACAGAACTTCAAATATTATGACAGTTGTGTTCCCAGAGTAGCTGGCATGTTTCTGAACATTCCATGCCAATTTCCCAGGTCACGAGTTCATTTTACAGACAAGAGTTGAACAGAGAACTTCCCAATTCACAGTTTAACCATGAATACAGTTGCTTTTGCAAAATTCTAAAGATCTGGTGGGAAAAGAAAAAGATATGTGATGGAGGGAGCATGAACACATGCACTCACATGTCTCTCATAGTTTAGTATTATGGTAAATGCAGATCTTAATGAAGACAGAGAGACGTATACTGACAAAGGAAGGAAAAATAGCATGCTGCAGGTGAACAGCAGAGAAGCTGAGAAACTGAGAGCAGAAAGAACAGAAAGAATATGAATAAAGGACCAAGAAAATGCTGAATAGCTTTAGGTAATATCTCAGCAGTACCCTCTTCCACTAATAGAGTCTACTATTTTTCAAAATCCAGCTTCTTTAAAAGCAAAGAAATGATAACTGAATCATGAAATGTGTTACTCTTACTATGCCTTTCTCGTACCCAGCCCTATGATGTATACACTGCCAGCTGGCACATTTGCAGGTCAATTCCAAGCCTATAATAAGGTACAATTTAAATGTTTCCTGAAACTACTTTTTCCCTTTTCTCTGGAAATTGCAAATACATTTAATATAGTGCACTTTTACTGAAGTGTCCCAATAGCTAAACCACTCATTATGTTGAGTGGATTGTCAAAAGCCAAAGTTGGTGACTGCAGCACTGTGAAAAGTTAGGCTTGTGCTGTCACCATTCCAATCAAACAACACACCATCCCATCTGTGGCACAAGATGGTCTAGTGTGATTTCGCACTCCATGAACAAGCCTTATGCCTGCACACTTCCCCCACCTTCTCCTCTCACATGTTCCAATTCAATTAATGGCATAGCCATCCATAACAGTGATCTTAAAACTGGAGGAAGATAGTCTCCTGTCAACTATTGATAGTCTCCTATCAAGTTCTGTCTTCAATGTAGGGAGAGGGTTGGGCCACTCCAACTACTGGGGAATATTACTCAGTTTGGTTTCTACTTAGGGATAAGGGAGAATTTTGTTTGGTCTGCATTTCTAGGGAAACTAATCTAATTTATACTTCCTGGATTAAATTGTGCACTAGAACACTATTATAATTTTTCCAAAATTTGTGGCGAAATTCTTGGCTCAGAAACTGAAAGTTAGGGCAAGTTGTGCCCAAAATGTGCACGTTATGGAAAGTAGCACACACAATGTTCATGCAGTTTTAAAAAGAAATCCAGGCTGAAATAAAAATGGACAGAATGGCCTTATCCCTGAATACATGTAGAACTGACAAGGACCAGATCAATTTGACCATCCCTGTTTTTGGTGCACTACCTAATATTAACCTTTAGTTTTGCCAATAAAAACCAACATGTTTCTCATTATCCTGTTCTCTGCTTTGCCAGAGGTCTGTATGCCAGTGCCATGTTTCATACAGACAGTTTGGTACAGTGGTTAGAGTGCTGGACTGGGAACATGGGAGATCTGGGCTGGCCATGAAGTTCACTTGGTGTTTGGGAACAGTCACTCAATCTCAGCTCAGCCCACCTTACAGGTTTGTTGTTGTAAGAATAAAATAGAGTGGAGAAGAATTATGCAAGCTGCCTTGGGTTCCTTACAAAAGTAAGCAAAGCGGGATATATAAATGCAATGTAACAATATTTTCTGGTCTGCACTGATCTATATTATAGATTTAGTAATATTTTTGGATCTATACTGGAGGGGGATCTGACCAACTGCTAAATTTTATGTTTTCAAAATATGCAGCAACAGCCATTGTTGTTCTTGCTCCCAGCCTCTGCATCCTGGAAATTTTTTTATACCTAGCAGAGACTCACTGAACACAGTGTTTCTAATTCTGAATTTCATCACAAGATTGGGGTTTCAAGACCTGTCCAATCCTCCGTCCGCACCTTCCTACATTTTGTTTAAAGTCTAGCCTGGAGCAAGGTTCCAGAGAAATTAAAAACTTGCTGCTTGCTCTTCTGTGATTTTTTTAGTTGCTTCTGCTTTATTAAAATATTTCAATTTTGTCCTCCTTCTATACAAGATATAGCTATCTGGTACATGTCTGAGGTCAAGCCAGAGATATCATGTGCACACACATGCATACAGGGGGGCAGGGGCAGAATTGTGTGTGTGTGTGTGTGTATGTGCCTGCATCTGAACCAAACCTCCAAACCTGGATTGCAAACCACTATGGTTTGTGCTACAGCAGTAATTGAATCTGAGCATGCTAAGGAAGACAGAAACTAGAGAGGAGAGTGCACAAACACAGGGTTATATATGTACCAAGCTGATCTCAACCAAACAGCAAGAAATAACTTCTTTCACATTTAAATAATACAGTTTTGAATTCTGAAAAATAATCTGGATAGCAACCTAACTTCCTCACAGCTTTTTCCTCAATTCACATGCTTCTATAAATACTAACAACTTGCATAATGTTTTTACTCACAGATACCACCCATAATTGTCCTGTCAAATCGTTCCTTTCAAAGCAAATATATAGTGCACAGAAGGGATTATTTAAACTGTTTCCAGAAAATGACAGTAATGTGCCATATCATGTATAAATTTTCAAAAAGGTTGATTGAAAAGATTTCAGATTAAGTTTTTTCCTTTAGTCAACTTTTCACTCAGTCATCATCACAAACCAACCAAGTGCTCATGCTTCCACACTTTATATCATTTCAAGGTTCCTCCTGCAAAACTTAACTGTGGTACAGCTGTCTTTGTCCCATAAGACGGGAAGGAACTCTTCATATCAATACAGAACAAGATGATAGTGAAAACAGGCAGCCTGTTTCTGGGAGCCTGGAGGGGGAACAAAGTGTTGTGCCCAACACCCAACACGGTTATCTAAAAACAGCTCCTATGAATCTATTTTAATCTCAGAGGCTGACACACTAACTAGTGTAATAGCAAAAGGTCTAACACAAAAGCATTATATTCAAGGCCAAGTGTGTGGAGAAATGTTATCATGTTTCCTTGGTCATAGCTTTTGGAAGAAGGGCACTATTGCCCAAAGTGGTTGGTTTTGGAAGAGTAGAAATATTCTAATCAATTTGAGAAATGCACTTTCCTCTTGAAGTACCCCTGGGTTTGTATTGCTCCCTTCCTGTTCAATGGGGCTTTCATCATATCAGAAAACAGCACCAAAACTATTTTGGGGACTTAAAGCAAGCTTCACTGCACATCTAGATGTCTCCTGTTCTTGTCCCTGTGCTCGTAAACAGATGATGAAGCCAATAAGAGAACAACTCCAGCTGAACTTTGCACTCCCCCACTTTATAGGAAGGAATTGGATGGAGGGAGCACAGATAAAGAAAACACTGGGTCTCTGTTGCTGCTTATCCTGTTTTATCTTGTTTTCTTTCAAGTACATGGCTTTTAATGCATCTGAATCACTGGAAGTTACCTTCCACTCAGCCAAGAGGAGAGGGCTGCTGAATCAGTATAGGATAGAAACAGCAGGCACAACTCATCCACCTTCACCCTAACCCTAACCCTGCCTAATTCCAGCCTGTTCCTGACTTGCTCGTGTTTGATCCTGTGTGTGCTAGTCTGCTCCAGCCCTGCTCCTGTGTGTTCTTGCTTGCTTGCTCCAGCTGCTCCTGCCCTGCTCCAGCCCCCTCTTGTCTGGACCACCTTTGTGTGACTGCTTTCCTGGCATCAGACCACTGGACTTTTCTGGACTGTGCGCTCTCTCTCACCTGTATAACATTGGACTGCCTGCTGCCTTGGCCCTGACCCTGGACTGCTGACCACACCGCCAGCCACTAGCCCTACTAAGCTACAGGTATCCCTGGTCCCAGTGTTCTGCCTGCCCCAGCCACCACCCATATCCCAGCCTGTACAACCACAGAGAGCTGCCACCAGAGAAGGCAATACTGCATTAAAAAGACACATGATGTAGACAGGTACAGACAGGCAAGCAGATAGTCTTTTGTACACTGGGAAGAGTTGCTTCTTCTACTCCCATTGCCCCATCAGGCCACCCATATATGAAACTGGAAGTGTTTATTTTATTCTTCATTTACTATGGTTTTATCTTGCCCTCCCTCCAAAGTGTTCAAGGTGGCATACGTTGTCTTTTACCACTTATAACTACTCTGTTAGGTTAGGTTGTAAGGGGGGGGGGGGGACACACCAAGGTCATCCACTGAACTTCAAAGCCTTAGAAGGGCTGATGAAAGTAAGGACAAGAAAAACATACCAACAGTGGAGAATAAGGACTGATCTAAGAACCAGAAGGGAAACAAAGCGCATGGAAATATATGATACAAAGTCATATGGTGTAGCAATTGTACTGAAGCTAAACTGGCAGGATCTGGTTACTGCCTTGATGAGAGACCACAGGGCTTGGAGGAAATACAGAGTATCAAATGTCAAAAAATAACTATCTTGCGTATTCTGTACGGTTAACTGGTAATCTGCATAGCAGAGCTAAGCAATGTATTAATTACAGTCTTTAATAAGAAAAGCTTGGCCCTCCCCCATCAACCTAAAGCCTTTCTAAAATATGTAGAGTGTGCATACGCACCTGCGCACACATTCAGAGGGAAAAGATTAGATAGTGCTTACCAGGATGCACTTTCCTGGTTCCATACTCCAGACAGAGTTCTCAGTGTTGATCTTGTGGGTAAGCGTGCCTTCCATGAGCACCCGATACCCATTTCCCTCCACCACCGCCACATGAATTGAATTACTGCCAATGTCCACAGAAACCTGAAAAACAGAGAGAAACAAATCAGCAAGGCCATTCTAGCCCTCACCGCTCTCTCCTGGGTAAGGACTGAGGACAGCAATACAATCACAATGCAAGACAAAGGAAAGCAATGAGGTGTATTATATATTTCCAGCATTTATATATTTATTTGCCCTTCTATTTGCAATAAAACTTCCAGGGCAGGGCAGGGCCGAGCACAAATTGTAATGACTATGTAAACACACAATGGTAAGCCAGAATTCTGAAGAATGCTGGCTTATTGTGAGTAGAGACTGAAGGTGGTGTGTATGTGTGGTGGGGGGGGGGGGTTCCATGGAAAAAATGGGGGCCTTTTTAAAAAAAGCAAAATTCAGGGTTTTTCCCCATTTTTCCAGCCCCCCCGCACACACATCTATAATCACGTCCACTACTGTCTCTCTCTTCTGCCTATTATTTCTCCCTCAGTCTTTTGCAACCCTGCACAAATTAGGCAACAGATAACCTCAGTTATAACTTTTATGTTATCTACTCCTTCTTCCTGCTCCCATTGACAGCTGAAACCAACAAAGAAATTGACCAGAAAAGACTACCCATATTGAAGAGCACACTTGCAAATAGCTAGCAAAAAAGATTACAATCCTATTTGTGCATGTCTGGGGCTCCAAAAAATAAATGTAAAAAGGGGGAATAAGCAACGGTCCTCCCAAAGTGCCATTTCAGCATCAATGGCAGGGCAGTCACTAATGAGGTCATGAAAACAAACAGCACATGCTTTTTCCTTTTTCTCTCCTTTCCTCTCTCTGTATCTCTCTTTTAATCAGCCCACTGCATTTGAATGGTCTGACATGACCAGTCATCATGGGCAAGAATGACCCTACAACAAGCCATGGGTTCTCTGTTAGCTTGTTCCAGAACATTAAAACACCCCATGGGAAACAGTGTGGATTCAGTTGACAACCAAATGGCAGGTTGTCATTCTGGATGGTACCCCACCATGGCTGCCTGGTTTATGTGATACAAATTCAATCAACCTCTAAGAGTAGGAAGGAAACAAAGGAGGAAGGTGCTTTATTAAGAAACTGAGCTACAACTGCATTTGAGAATTTAGAAAGATACAGTTTTAACAGGTAAGGTGGAGATGACATGCAACAACACGTGGCAAAGAAGTAAACGGAAAACTAGCAACTCATCCAGAACATAAGACTAATAAAAATAAAGGTCAGAAGGATAATTTTCTAAGAGGCATCCTCCATCCTGCCTCACATCAGAGGAAACGCTTTACCTACACTGCTGCCACAACAATAACTGAATGCCTTCGTCAAAACTAATGCTTTATTGAAATGAAAATGCATGCATGTATGATGTGTATGATTTAAGAGCTCTATGCAGGTGACTGATTGATTTGCTCTAATTTATAAAGAACAGGTTTTTAAGGAAGTTGGAAAAATCTATTAAACCGTTAGAGAATGGAAGAACTATGGAAGAATGGAAGAGTCATCGGGTGAACCTGGGCAATGGATATGGATTTTATAATTGTATAATTTTGTTGTATTTTACATCATGGACTCAAATTTTGATTTTACTGTGTGTTGCCATGGCTTTCTAACAATTCAGCTGGTAAATTTAATAAGATTATATACAGAATGAAGCAGCAACAGTTAAAACTCCAATCTGATCACAGATGTTCTGCTTAGCGTTCAACTGGCTTCAAAAGCAATCCTATGCTGGAAATGACGGGAGCTGGAATCCAACCAGATCATCAAGTTCCTCACCTGAACTAAGGTTTGCAACTTTTGTGTACTACTGAGACTATGGGTGTGTTTCGATGAGTCTATTTACAGTATCTTCACCCTCTCTCATTCATAGAACTATCCTGCGGAGAGTGAGGGGGCAGTCCAAAACCACAGTGCTCTTCCATGTTTTCCCACCACTTCTGACATCTTTTTCCTCACAGCTGAAAATCCACTGGGTAGGAAAAGACAGAAGGGCTACACAGTCTCCTTTGATTGGTAGCTAAGAGCCCACAACTAGATGTGTCTCACGTATACTCAGAAGATAAAGAGTCCTAAATATTAGCCTGAACCAGAGGAGGAGGGAAAGCACATAGCTTTGATACACATCAAGTTCACAATCTAAATAGCATTTCCTCAGCTGATCAATTGTTGAGAAATCACAGAGGGTGAAGGAGCATATAGTTACAGTTCCTTCCAGCCCCCTCACAAATGTCAATCACAACGCACATTCAAAGCAGGGAAGCAAACATAGCATTAAAAAAAAATGTTAGAGATGCTGGCTGTGGCATAGGCCTAGCTAGTGCTACAACCAAATCAGACAAGTTTGATCTCAAAATGCAAGTTCAGTTGCTGAAGCATCAACAAAGAAAATTCCATCGGCACCAGAAAGCTCAGAACTTGCCCCAAACAAACTAGCGTTTCATTATCAATTTCTTCACATAGAAATGCTTCTGCAGACATCCAGAGAGAGCATGAAAACAAATTTTAAAAATACTCTCTCTAAAGAAAGATGCAGATGCCATATATGCACAAGATGGCTATGCTTCCTATTTGCAGGCTTCCATAGAACATGCACACTAGGTCGGCTAGATTAAAATAAAAAGGAGAAAACCCCAATTACTCACTGGTGTTCTATTGTACTGAGGCAAAAGACCAATCATTACTGAAATGAGATATTAACTCAATTTAGCTTGGATACCATGTATTAAGTAAAAAGAGCATTTTAAGCCAGTTCTGTTTTCTGATTACGAAGATTCGTCCTTCCTTCAGTGAAACTGGGCTGCTGCCTGGCAGATGGATTTATATTCAGGGAAACAGAAAGTAAAATGAAATAGAAAGTAACATGAAGTGACTACAACAGTCATCATCAAACAGTGGCTTTCAGGGACGGTAGGCGTACTCATGCTGGGCTGCTCATTTTAAAAAAGGACTGCAGGTGAAAAATAGAGCTGAAGCCATACCACATTTATTTCTGTCCTTTTTCCGTAAGCTAATTGAACCGTGCCTCATTTTGCCTAGCTCTTCTGGACATTTTAAAACAAAACAGAGGATGCGTAGCCATTCTGATGTTGCTGGACTAGAGATGTGAAAGTATGAAGAAAAAATTAGGAAAAAATAAGGTTATGCCCCCCCATTAACCTTTTTGCCCCCCACTCCAACTGAATAGTTTTGGATTGTTAAATATTTTCTTTTAGAATGGTGAACAAAATGTTCAGAAAAAGGGGTGCATACATTGCTACCTAAACTTTATGCCCTCAAAATTATTTGTAAAAATTACACAATTAGAACACTTTTTAAGAAGATTTAAGATGAAACATCCCTGGACTTTTTAAAGCTGGGGGATTTTTTAAATTTCCAAAACAATTATTACATTGATTCCCTATTAAGCTTATTAAATTCTAATGCACCTTTTCCTACCAGACATTTAGAAATGTTACAAGTTATACTCAGCTTCACAACATGTGTCATTTTGTTGCTCACTTCTCTTTATGGAGTAATTCCAAAGTGGGGTACAAACAAACAACATAGTAAAATTCTACTTGCTACTTATTTAATTTCTATACCACCCAACAGCTGAAACTGTCTGGGTGGTTCACAAGAGCACAGATAAACACAGGAACAGAGTGAGTCAGAAGGAGCCTCCTGGGCCATCTAGTCTGACTCCCAGTTCCAGCCGACTTCACTCATAACATGACTACCATGTGCCTGTCCCTCCTATCCTTAAACAGCCTCACCACTGGGGCTTCAATCACCTCTGGTGGAAGCCCATTCCATGCCCAAGGGGTCCTAACCATCAGGAAGTACTTCCTGGCACCCGAAATCTTGGTTCCCTGAGCTTTGCTCCACTGGAACACATCCACTGCAGGGGGAAAAAACATCATGACCCACCTCTGTGTGGCATCTGCTCACGTACCTGTATGTCGCTAACAGGTCCCCTCCGAGTCTCCTTCTCTCAAGGCTGAAAAGACCCAGTTCCCTCACTCTCTCCTCATATGGCTTACCCTGCAAACCAGCTACCATCCTAGTGGCCCTTTGCTGCACTGTTTCCAGCCTTGCTATATCTCTCTTATAATGAGGGGCCCAGAATGGAACACAATGCTCCAGCTGTGGGTGCACCAGAGTCATACAGAGTGGCAGCAACACCTCTCTCGATCTAGAAGCCACGCTTCTGGCTATTCAACCAAGGGTGGCATTTGCCCTCTTGGCTGCTGCACCACACTGGTGACTCATGTTTAGACTGCAGTCAACCAGCACCCCGAGATTCCTTTCACAGGTGCTGTTCTCCAGCCACTTGTCCCCTGTACTTAAGATGTCCATTCCTATGCCCCAAGTGCAAGACCTTGCACTTATCTGCATTGAACTCCATCCTGTTGTCCCCTGCCCACTCCATAGTCTGCCAAGATCCTTCTGCATCTGGAGTACTGCTCCTCAGTTATGAGGACAGCTCTGACCAAAAAAATGTGCATGTAACCCAACAGAGTAAAATTATCCTGACTGGAGTCACTATATGTTAAGCGTCAATTAATGCCTTTCCAACAAGAGAACTTTTCTGATATAACACAGTTGTGTAAGCTGAAGCTGATGTACAAGACGAAGTGTGCTCAATTCAGCTGCCTTGAATTGATGGAGGGGAAGAGAAACAAGCCATTTTCCAGACTGGAAAAACACACACCACACACCCCTTGGCTTAACTGATTCTGTGATAGCAGGAAGTACAAATAAGCCTCTCCTCTAACCACTTCAGTCAGTATGTCTGCCTGAGTACATCTCTCAAACTCCCCTTCACTAATAAGGCTGCAGTAGAGATCGGCTTCTCTCAGGCTGACAGAATAAATTGCATCATTCTCCTGTGCTCCCCTCAAGGAAAACCCTGGATCATGAAGAAAAAGTGTGGGGGGAGTTCTACGAGTCAGGAACCTTGTGCAGATACATGCTAATAAATGTACATGACAGAGAGAGTCTCGTATCTATCGGGAAAAGGCTGTTTCCTTCTCAGCAACCATCACCCTAAGCATAAACATGCTAGACATTCTTATTGGAAACCCTCAGAGCAGTACCTGAAGGCAAAGGTACTATCAGATTAAGCCGTTTTGACTTCTGAGTTCACAAAACATTAACTGATTCCTATTTTTTTGCGACGAACAATAGCCACATGGAGCAAAATGGATTTTGCTTTAGATACAAACATTATCCTGACGTTAAAAAAAAACCTCCACAAAGATTAGCTATGCTGATCCATGGGAAAGAAATCTGGAATCTACAATTTGGCTTTTATTAGGACCAACCAAAATTCCACAATATTGCACAAGCTGCAAAAAGAATCTTCAAAAAGGATCTCGCTTCAAACACTGGAGTAAGGAAAGCATTATGGAACTGCAATTCTTCTCTATATGTAATGGTCACATAAAGACATTTGGGGACAAAATTTCAAATTGACAATATGACCGAACAAAAAAAAATCATCAAGATTCCTGTATATCTCCTTTCCGAAAGGATTTATAGTCCACGGTGCACAAATATTTCATGGGAATGGTTAATTCAAGCACCAAAGATAATGATTCCACAGCTTTCTGGAAACTGACATCTAAATTTTCTCCCAAGGATGATTCTCCTCTGCACTCCTTAATTGCATCTGCTATTTGGGGAACACTTTAGGAAGATACATGCCAAGGGTGTTTATGAACTCCCCTTACAGAACTTATGTTTGTAAGCCGTCCTGAGATACCGAGGCATGTGGTGACGGGATATAAAATTTCTAAATAAATAAATAAACTTAGCAGACTTTCCTGAATGGCCTCCAGTTTCCATTAAAGAAATCAAATCACTGACTGATCCACCTAAGCGAGAAAAAGCCCTGGATATTGATAATATTCCTCCAGAACATTTGAAAAATAACACAGACTGGTGGGCACCTCCTCTTGGCTTCACTGTTTGCTTGCTTATTGACCACTCAGTAAATTTTGCAAAGAATGGAGACAGACAATAAAGGCAGGTTGTTACCTGTAACTGTCCTTCGAGTGGTCATCTGTGCATCACACATATGGGTGCTGCATATGAAGCACCCGTATGTGCTGCATACGCAGCACCGAGGGAATGAACCCCAACCAGCAGAAATAATTCAACTGCTTCTTACATGCAACTGGTTTTCAAAAAGGGGGGGGTACTAATGAGAGGACAATATCTTTTGATTTACCCTTCCCATTCAAGACAAGAAAGATAACAAAATAAGCTATTTGGATTGTCCCATAGCAAATTTATGGGTGCAGGCAAAAACTGCAGGTAATCATGAAGTTATCCATCCTCATTACTTTTTGGGGGAATACTTGCCTAGCAATATCCTTTCCCTTAACATCCAGCCTGATTTAGAATTGCTATGAACTCAAACGCTTGCTTACTTCCTGGTGACATGATTGTAAAAAGGGATTACTCTATTGTTATTTCAGGATCACAGGTAACCTGCAGAGATCTCTGCCTGCACCTACTATCTTCCCCTGTATCAGCGGCATGTGACATGGATGTGTGTCTTTATATACTTGGACACCTTTCTTGATGTCCACCAAGGTGCCCTTTCCATATACCTTTTCATTTTAGTTTAAATAATAAATAAATAAATAAATAAATAAATGTTGTTTAAACAACTTATATGCCGCCCCATTGCATGAGCCTCGGGGCAGCTTACAATCATTAAAATCCCATATAAAATACAAAAAATTCTTCAAATAAAATACAAAAAATAAAATAATTAAATAGTGAATCCACAATGTTTCTTACTGGAAGGTATGATCACTTTAAACTGCTGCTGCCTTTTTAAACTTTGTTTTATTTTTGCTATAAATGACTGTGGACTACACATAAGACTCAAATACATTCTTGGGAAACAAAAATGGTTGCGAACCAATGCTTCCCTTTGTAAGAAGCCCTAAAACAGCTTTAGAATGCCATATGTGCCATGTATCCAAAACAGTTGCCTACCTCTACCCTGTAAATGCCCAATAACCCTTGAGATGGTCTGAGCAGGCCTTGCTTATTATTCTACAACCAATGTCATGTTGCTGGACCTTCTCAATAGTGGTACCAATCCTCTGGAACACCCCCCCCCCATGTGTTGAGACACAGATGCTGTGGAAAGCATTAAATGCATCTTGAAGTCATACCAGCTTTTCTATCATTTTTCTCTGACTTGTAGTGGATTATGACACTAAACCATTCTATTACTACTTTATTGTTGTAATACTTCAGTTTTTATTCTATATTCTGCTTGCACCATTTTATCATTGATTTTATATTGTATTACAATGCCTTCTAGAAGTATTTGCCCCTCTTTGAGTTTTCCACATGTACTACAACCTTCAACTGAAATGCATTTAATTGACACTGTTACCAACTGATGTAAACAAAATACTCAATACTCTGAAGGGGCCAAATATTTTTATTGTGGCAAAAATTTAAGCAAATGAAAACAGACTGGCACGTGCATAAATATTCACCCTCTTTGCTACAACATGTCTAAATAAGGTTTAGCACAACCCAATCTCTCCAGAAGTATGTATACGATTCCAGTGCCACCTGATACCAAATTAGATATACCTGTTACTAAAAGGTCCCAGAGCACATTAAAGAGACTATTTAAACAAACATGACCATTAAAGACTAAAGAGCTATCAAAGCAACTCCAGGATAAAGTTGTGCAGAAGTACTTTTCCTCAGCAGCAACTGGGAAACTGGTCAGGACTGAGAGCAAGATGGATAGGGTAAAATACAAATCAAATCCAGAGATAAACCTGTTTCAGTCAGCATGAGATCTAGTCTGGGATGGAGGTTCACTTTCCAACAGGACAATGACTGTAAGCACATAACCAAAGTAACATTGGAGTGGTTTAAAACCAAGAGCTTGAATGTTTTAGAATGGTCCATTCACAGCTCAGACCTTAACTCAACTGAGTATCTTTGGCAAGTCTGCTGCTGGATATTGTTCATCAGTGCTCCCCCATCCAAACTGACAGAGCTGAAACAGTTTTCCCTGGAAGAAAACAGCAGGATCCAAATGCTCAAAACTGACAGAGACTAATCCAAGAAAATTCAGAGTTACAGTTGCTGCCAAAGGTACTTCTACCATGTAATGACCTGGGACATCAATACACAGGTAGCCAAGAAGTGACAGTTTGTGTTTCTCAAATTTCGTGTCAAAATAAAACTATTTTACATCTTCTCAGGATTCAGTATCTTGTGTACACCAACCAGGAACAATGCCAATTAAATCCATTTCCATGCTATGTTGAACACCACAAAATGTGCAAAAGTCAAAACCTCGAATATTTCTGCAAAACACTGTCTCGTATGTCTTGTGAGCTGCTTAGAGATTTTAGGTTACTAAGTGGCATAGAAATAATATATTATTATTTATAATATATATTTATAATATAAAAATATAATATAAAAATTAGGTGTGGCCCTCTGATGGACTGTCTGAAAGAGTAGCACAGGTCAGCATCATTCTCCTCAGCAAGATGAGATGAAATTAAGGTGCTATAAGGTATCATGTAAGCAAAATATTGGGGAAAGAAGGAAGCTTATCAGCCACAGGTGCATACATTACCTGCCTGCCTTTCCGAATGTGCTTGGGCACTGGAACTTTAATCTCCACATCACTATAGTCTTGGGACCAGACATAATTCTCTCGCACTGCTCCATTGTAACTGTCCGGATTTGCCTGGAATTGCTCCTGTTTCCTGGAAAAAGAGGCAAGAATCTGAGTATTCAGTGGAATAAGACAGAACAGAAAACAAACATATAAAAGTAAATCAGGAAAAGCTGCATGCTACAGCAGAGTTTTGGATGTACCATCATCCACCTAAAAAAAAACGCCAAGAGCCTCAGACAGTCTGTCCACATGACCTGACATCCTTCTTAGGATATGCTTCTCACTGCTACAGTTAACCAGAAAGCCACATGACAACTTTTTAGTCCCCTTCTCCCACACATACTTCCAATACTTACCAGGCAGAGTGAAGCTCTACAAGGCTGACAGATTTCCCAGGTTAAACTGAAGGGTATCAGCTGTCATGCCACCAAATGGCATTTATACTAAGATGGCTTTGCAGAGCTATGACTAGTGATAACCCCTCTCTTGCTGAAAGCAAGGAACAAGAGCAACCACTAGTGCCAAAAGGGAGTCACAGTGAACATTTAGAAGGCTGTTGCAATCTCATTAGGGCACTAAGCCACACTACCATGGCCACCTGACATACTTTCTGAATCTAGTGTAGCTTGGAGTAGGGAAATCTCCAGGCAAAAGAAAGCTAAAAAAATTATGAAGCAAAAGGGTTGCTGCTGTGGTCAGTCTTGGTAATGTAGAAAGCTCAGCATTTAAAACGGGGACAGGACAATACATTCCAGAGAACACCCTACAAGATGGGTGAGCAGAGGCTAACTTTCCACTCTGCCTTTTTTAAAATGACATCTGGATTTGCTTCTACTACACGAATGTGCTGAACAGGGTGACATATGACCATGGCAACAGAAGATCAGAATGGAATGGTGGACACTCAGTGCTGCCCTTTCCAGGTCCCTGGAAACGAGGCACATTCTCCTTGGCCTTGTAGCATTCAGTGCCAACACATAGAAGCAATCTCATTTTCCACAGAACAGGTCTCCTCCCACACAACCCAACAGCAGCCAACAAGGAAATATCCCAACAATTACTCTAAGCAAAAGAGCATTTGGACAGACAGAAACAGAAGAGCTGCCTTATTTTCTCTTGGGTTACTCCAGATCAATGTTACAGACTTTGTTTCACATATACAGTCTCAAGAAATAACATGTATTTAGACAACTCAGAATCCTACCAAAATTTCCAAAAAACCCTTACAAAGTGTTTTCAATAGCAGAACAGTATAGTCTTGAGGAGTGGGGGAGGGTGGAAAAGCTAACTGTACAGTTCTCCTGTAAGATGTTTCATTTCACTAACATTTCTAACATATAATCCACATTTTAGGGAAAATTAGCTTAGTTAATTCAGAAGAACTGTAGGTGTTCAACCTCTCAGAAAAAACAACCCACTTATGTAAATTACACATGTACAAGATATTTAAAACAGGGGGTTTCCCTTAGTCAAGGTCTACAGACATAGAGATATCTGTGTTTACATACTAGTTCTAAAAAGCTGAAACTGAAGACAGATTACCACATCTAGTTATAGAAGAATGTGGATCTTATGTTAAAGTCACATTTTATTTATTCCTATTTATATCTTGCCCTTCACAAAATTCCAGGGTGAGTTACAGCATGAAAACCACAACACTAAAATATAATAAGCATAGAATAAAACCAGTAGTACAACTATTTCTAAGATTATATTAGTTGTGTTGATTGTTTCTTCATGGAATTCACAGAGTTCCCCATCTGGTCTGCATCCAAATACTGACCAGACACAGAGCACCTGTTTAGCACATGATATGCTGTTGGTTTATATGGCATTCATCATTATGGCCAATTCGAGATAGTGGGAAAATCAGAAAAACAAATGGCACAGCTATTCCTGAGCTTGTAAAGAGTAGAGCACATGGTGTACCTCAAGGCATTTTACTCTGAAAAGTATAAAGCCTAGAACATTAGAAGTACTGAAAGGACCAAAGGTTATTACGAATATTATTATGGGTTAAAAAATGTCAAAAGTTTTACCCCATTATCAAGACTATAACAGTGCGATGTACCCCCCCTCGCCCCACCAAAAATAGCCAGAAGCAGAATCGCTTTCTATTTGAGGGTGACTTCAACTATCCTCAAAATAACTAGATGGAAGCAAGTCAAGGATAACAAATTCAGATGATTACAAGATTACCAGATACAAGGTGAGTATATTTTGAGATATTCCGTCATGGAACTAACTAGAGAACTGAGTCTTGATTTAATCTGGAACAGCAGACAGAATCTGGTGAGCCATGTAAGCTCACCAGAACTGTCTGGAAATAGTGCCAAAAACACAATCAAAATTCAATATGAATAGAAAATCATCCAGGAAGCCCAATCCAGTCTTACTTAGTTTCCATTTTGTCTTGTACCAGTCCCCGTCCCCATCCTATCTTGTCTTTTCAAGACAGACACAGAGACTTACAATGGAAGCTGATAGTTTGGAAGCTAAAGTCCATTCAGAAGCTTGAAAAAGACTTCAAACCACTATGGCAGAGGCTTTAAAATGTGCAATAAATGGTTTTTAATTAAAATAAATAGCATAGTTTAAACAACAAACATGTGGAAATTATGAAAGACAAGGATGTCTCCCTTAGGAAATATAATTATTTTCTGAATGAAACTGGAAGGGGTGAGAAAGAAGCTAGCAAACTAAAAATACTTCCATAATAAAACAAAAGGAGGACAGTGAGAAGGAAAGAATTACAACCATTACCAGACACTCCATTTTATTTCTCTACTTTTGCTTTCCATTCCCCACCTCAGTCATCAGCACATGCACCCATGAGAATTGTCAGACCTCAATTAACTGTTTGGGGGTTTACACCCACTCCCAGGATATTTTTCCCTAGAGGCTTTTCATACTTCCACAAAACTTCAAGGTTCACCTGTGCTTGCTGATTGGTCTCTCAAGCGTGTGGATGGCAACATTTTAGCTACAGCAGGTTTGACTCTCAGATAATAAGTTCACTATTAGCATATCTATCTCTTTATTATAGTAATTATATAACTAAAATAAAGATATGATAGACATGCACCTTCAACCCTGAATAAAATTACAAAATGTTTTGCTAAAGATAGAACAGAGCCTTAGCAACACAGCATTTCCCCCAATTTAATTCTTCTGACAACAAAATAGAAAGCAGGACACACATTTCTTCACAGACATTTCAAAATAGCAATACATACGTCCTTGCCTGAAGACTTGCAATCTGATTCAGCCATCTCCAACCCAGAGTCCTCCAGATGTGTTAGACTGCAGAACCCATCACACCGGCCAGCATGGCCATAGATACTGAAGTTCAATATAGGTTGCTGTGAAAGATGGAAGTTACATCCAAACACATCTGGAGGGAATCAAGTTGGAGATGACTGAAAATACATAAAAGGGAAAAGAGCAGGAAAAACAGAGAATAAGAACTGCTACTAGATCAGATCAATAGGTGTTCAGCATTGTGTAGCCAATGAGCGGGCTCTATTTAACTTGCCATTGGACTATCCTATGGAGGGGTCCTCCTTGGGGGGTTTTCCCTAACAATTTTGTCATACTTTTAAATCTTGGGATTCTCCCAAGCCTGTTGATACTACCAAGTTGTGTGTGGGTGGTGCCGTTTTGTCTATGTAAGGATTCACAAAGATAATTGTGACTGCTATTAATATGTACAATGTTAAAATATGCTTCAAAATTCAAAAGCAGAGGCAACAGGAGCATTAAATGGCATAGGGAGAAAAGGGGTACTGAAGCAAAATTAAAGACAAAGCCACAAAACTGGTAAAATGGAGAATTTCCACAACAGAGAGAAGTAAACCACAAAGCTGATCTCCTCACATCCACTTCAAGGCACAGGTTTTATTTAACCCCTGCTCTTTATAGTTTTAATGCTTTACTGTTTTAAACGGCTGTTGTTAATAATAATAGTTAGAGAGTTCAGCAACAACAAGTTTACATCAACCTGAAGCATGCTTATGTAAATTTCCACAATAAAGCAAAACGGCAATATGACCAGATCTTATGAAATTTGCTGGAGTCAAACAGTAAGCAGCCTGCATAGAGAGAACAGAGCAGACAGAGAATGCCATTAGGGTTTGTCATCCGAGAGAAGAGGGAGAAGCACACAGTTCCTTACTTGACATGCTCCCTTAAAAGTGACAAGTCTCCGAGTTCCTTAGTTCCTGTTGACATTTCATGTGCACAGGCAGGATGAGCTAACAGAGTGCAGCAGCCAACAAGCACTGTTTGGAGGAACACGCATCGTAATATCCAGGGACACTGAGATCCCAGAGACAACGGAGCCAGGTCTGCTGACAAGAAAGCAGGCCACAGAATACATGTGAACAAAATGAGTTACGGGCAACTAACCTGTGCTATGCAGGTGTCGTCCAAAATGTCAAGTATCTCGCGTTTTCCCTGACTATTGATCATGCTAGCAGCAACTGGTAGGAGTTATAGCCCAGAACATCCCAGATGGTGAAATCCCAAGCAGATGGTGAAGACCCCTGAGAGGCTCTATCCAGACATAGGGATTGGGCAACAGAATGACAATTGACTGCGATGTGAAGTACAACACCGTAACTTCATATCTATACTGACAACTGGATCGGAAAATCCAGGAAAGCACTCTAAAAATGTCAACTCCTTTTGCTTCACCAGTTAAAAGGATGAATTCATTGCTACAAAATGAATTAAGAAAAGGATGGAAAGTAGCAAGAATCTTATTACAGCACAGTTGAAATACTATTTACAAACCTGAAATATCCCTATCTCAAAAAGATATTAGGCTTCAAAAAAGGCAACTAAAATTATCAAAGAGCTGGATTAGTTTTCCTGTGGAAAAAATGGTAATAATGGAGGCCTTTTGGATTAGGAGAGTCAACTTGGTGTGGGAAGGTGGCATAAAACATAGGGTTTTTAAACTTATGAACCAGTTGAATAAAATTTGTTTTCTCTTGTAATAATTAAAGTTTATGACTATTCACTTAAAATAGCAGGCAGCCATTCACTTAAAAGGGCAGACACATACACAGTGAGTTAAGAATGCCT